GCAACATGACTAAGTCGATGTTTCGATCACTTGATGCGAATATAGATTGTCTTTCGAGATGCACTGTGGAAAATGACCATTTATTACATATCGAAATCAATTGAATAAGAAATAGATGATCGAAACACTAGCCTGAAAATAAAGTTCTTGCAGCCGGTTAGTCCCATGAGAAAGCTGGTAATCAATTGACCTTCGTGCAGCGCGTGCATAGGTCATCAAATATGCAGTTGATACCTCAGCGATAACATAAGCGAAAGAAAGATGTCCCTGAGATATGAATAAAGATTGATTGCATGTGACGCACGGGATGCATTCGATTAGGATTAGGATGATGGTAAATATGCAGGAAAGCATAGGAAAAAAGAATTGGTAATGAATGGGAACTTCGAAATACAAATGTTCATATACATTTGAAAATTTCCATATGTGATTTTCCTTCACATGAATCGTTTTTGAATGCCACTCTAAGGCAATTATAAAAGGAAACTTACTGCAAATCAGAGCAAAATGTTAAGTTAGCTGAGGTTTGGCTAGGGTTAGGGTGGTCATCAAGAGGTCGCTTGAATACTTGATTTTGGGTAATTGCTAGGGTGTGCGGGCAGGCGCATTCGGGAGAAGTGGCGAAGCGGTGGAAGCGCTATCAGATCGAGCTGAGATCGATCGATGCCGGAGAGTGGTCTAGGAGGTGACAATTCGTCGGGCCGTATGAATTGCAGCTCAGATTGAAAAGGATTTCATTCTAACGAAATTGTGATAATTGTGGAAGATATCTATCCGTAGTCTTGGAAGAGGCATTTGTTGCATGAGACTAGGTATGGAAAAAAAGTGGCTCAGTTCTCTTGCCGGGTGGATGGATAGCAACTTTAAGTGCAAAAACGGGAGGTTTTAATAGCGATGAAGAATGATCCCTCACTTCGGTGCTGCAATGAATTCGGTAAGGGGCAAAAGGCGTAAAAGAAGGGCACAACATTTTCGGCGGATTTCGAATGGCGGGAATTACGGAGGTATAATGAAGAAAATGTACTCGATCGAGGATTTTATATCAAAAATCGTACAGAATGAAAAATATTAAATTTTCTCAAATCGATGTAACATTGATTATCGACAATGAATATTAACGGGGAATGTATTTTCCTCACTGGGAAGATCCTGCTGGATTTCAAATTGGTTCACCCCATTCTAACGGACATAACACTTTTACTTAAATAGTACAGTTTCATTTCATTCCTACCACGATAACAGCTAAAACTGGTGGTGAAAAAGTTTCGACTAAAAAGCATTGTCATATGACATTAATCCCTCGTTCCGTCGCATTGCTTGTGTAGTAGGAGAGTTCATGGGAATTCAAACTTTAATTATGAAATCACTACTTCACAGATATTTCGATGACCTTGTACGAAATATCTACTGTCAGTTAAGTTCAACTAGTCAGGGATGAAAAAAAAAGAATTTTGAATGTTGCTGTTCTCACGGTTTTGGCTGACATCCCAAGGAAATGGAGAACAGGCTGATCGAGGGAGGGGCTTTTGTGTAATTACAAAAAATTCACCAAAGTGCGGCTATCAGGCATTAAAGCAGAAAACGTGATTACTCAGCGGTGGAGGCAATATGGCGGAAGGAAAAATATAATTCATTAAGTGGTCAAGTTTTTGTCTTCGTTCATCTAGCGGTTCGGCGAAATATTGGTATTAAACCAAAAATGGGAAAATACAAAAATAAATTTGAAAGGTATTTCACAAATACAGAAATAACTATTCAAAAGAAAAGGAATGGAAATAATTGTAATCCTGAAAAACTGGCATTCCTAATTACCGATCACGGAACGAGATTTTGTTGCAAAAAATTTTTTAAAATAATGAATAAAAAATATGAAATGAACTACAAGTACTAAATTTGGAAAATAAACTGAGGAATGACTACTGAGCAACGTGAGATCATGGAATCCGCTTTTCGCACAGGTAATGGATGCTCTGATCTCCCCACCCATCATTCGACATCCCATTCCACCACACTCCGCCCACGAAGTTCACCATCTCGATGATCAGGAAGTGGTTTTCCGCCAAGTTGTTTGGATTTCCTGGACCCCAGAACGTTTGGTTCATCGGTGTACCTGAGTGTGGGAAACGGACATGGGAATGCAATGGGTCTTTCTCATAAGTACTTGGAAGTACTTTTCGGCGAGGACAGTTTCCGACCGATGATTCTTTAAGCGGACGACCTGATCATTCAGACAGCAGCAAATGAACATTTCGCAGAGATATCAAATCCGTGGCATTTTTGCTTCATGAAGTTCTTCCTCATTCTTTCAACCTCCGTTTGATTGAAGCAAAGAAAACTATTTGAAAATATGTTCCCCTAAAAGGTGTGCCCCTTTGGCATGCATCACCAAAGTAGAATCTCTCCTGTACTCATCATGCGAATAGCTACTTATGCCAGTCAGTCACCTGCTGAGCATCGTCTATGTATCATAAAAGAAGAATTTTTCTTTACTCAACTATCGTCAGGTTCTTCTTTGCCATGTTTAAGCATTCTAGCGCCCCGTTTTCCTGATCAGAAAATTTAGGAAAATACGACTTTTGCAAAATATATGCCCTGAGCCGTTGTTACCGAAAAATAACCTTTTTTTTTACTGGAATTCATCCTCAGTGAACTCCATGCCCACAGTTTCAATATTATACATTTGCCCTTTTCCCTGGTGAAAAAGCATGTTTGGAATAACCGACCCACACAAAAGTTTTGCCCGGAGGGGATGCACCATCGAAGCTGAATACTCCCTCAGCTCAGTAATATAATGTCACTTAAACGTATGCAAAGTTTCATCTTTCCATTTCTGTCCAATTGGCCACTACAATTTTTTTTCCAAACATTGCATCAGAAAAAAATCCCTCAGGGGATGTATCGATACTTAACGTTTTTATTTAACTCATTGTCCCAGTTTTCACATTCAGGCAAAGCTCAAGCTTTCCATGTCACTCCGTTTTACTCAAGTAAAGATAGTGTTATGGAAGGGAATGAGTTACGGGACATGGAAGGCAAAAAAAGCCAAAAAAAAAGACCTAGGAACGACCGGGAATTAAACCAGGACCTTTTGATTGCCAGTCAAATATACTACTACTGCACCACCAAACCCGGCACATATTAACTCTCTAAATGCCATGCTAATCTGGTACAAAATTTATTTCAGCAAAAACTTTCCCCCCCTAAAATGTGTACCCCCAGGGCATGTACCTCCAAAGTCGGATTTTTTCTGAACTCAGCATCTCAAAAGGTACANGTTCATTTCCCGGGTAATTGCTGTATTTTAGCTTTTTTTCCTTCCGCGTCCCTTTACTCATTCCCCCTCCATAACATTATTCTTACTTAAGTAAAGCGGAGAGACAAGAAAAGCTGAAACTAGGCATTAACGTGTTAACCGAGATGATGAGTTCAGGAAAAATGCAAAATTTTAGATTGATGCACATGGGGCATATTTTTTTTATCCGACGTTTTAAATTATATATTTTTTGTCCTGGCGTTTTGAGGTAGTGTGGAAAGGTGAAACTTGGTACATAACTACCTATTGGGATGCTGCAGAAAACATCAGACTTTGGAAGTAAATGTCCTTGGGGCACAAATTTCAAAGGGAGATGCTTTTAACTAATTTTTTTGCATCAGTTAAACTGACGAACATGGAAAGCTGAAACTTTGCATGAATGTGACTACTGAAATATAATTGTTAAGTGTCGAAACATCCCCATTTGGGAATTTTTTTGAGGTGCGATGTTTTCAACAAAAATATTATCTTGGCGAATTGGACGGAAATGGAATAGTGAAACTTGGCACACGTTTAAGTGACATGATATAACTGAGCTGAAGGAGTATTCAGCTTTCATGGTGCATCCCCTCCGGGCATAGCTTTTGGGTGGGTCGGCTTTTCTTAACATGTTTTTTCACCATCAAAAAGGGCAGACGTATAATATTGAAACTTTATGGGCATGTAGTTCACTGAGTATGGATTCCGGAAAAAAAATTGGTACGTTTTCCCGAAGGCACAAATGTTGCAAATTTTTCTGAATTTTCTGATCCAGCAAAACGGAGATTGCTGGAAAGGTTGAACTTGGCAAAGAAATAGAAATATGAGTAGATGAGTAAAAAACAATTCTACTTTCATATTATATATAAATGATCGTCAGTAGCTGACTGACATAAGTAGCTATTCACATACTGAGTTCAGGAAAAATTCCACTTTGGTGATACACACCTTTTCGGGGAACATATTTTCAAATAGTTCTCTTTGCTTTAATCAAACCCATGGAAGACCATGGAGAGCTGTTGTTAGAAAGGTTGAATTCTTCCAAGCTGGCTGGGAAGGCTGGGACTGAGGTCAAAATATTTTTTCGTAGATGAAGTATCCTCAATTTTGGCCTTTCCCATTTGTGGAACTCCACATTCGTGAGTTTATATTCGTAAAGGTAGAGTTCATCCAGACTGGCCATTCTGAAGGCTGGAACTGAGGTAAATGAAATGTTTTCTAGATGAATTATCTTAAAATTCGTAGTTTTCCATTTTTCGAAATCCACATTTTTTATTTTATTATCGTTCAGGCACAGTTCCTCCAAACTGTCAAATTTGAAGGCTGGAACTGAAGTCAAGAAGTTGTTTTGTAAATTAAGCATCCTCAATCAGGGCCTTCCCCATTTGTCGAATTTCACATTCGTGATTTTATTATCGAAAAGGTGAGCTCTTCCGGGCTTTCTTTTTTAAAGACTGGGACTGAGGTCAATACATTGTGATATAGATCGCGTTTGCTCAATTTAGGAGTTTCCGATTTGTCGAACACCATATTTGTGATTCTATTGTCATGAAGGTGGAGTTCTTTCGAGTTGTCGCATTTTAAGGCTGGAACTGAGGTCAAAGAATTGCTGCAGAATCGGTTTAAGGTGGGTTCGCAGCTGTTTGCCAGCAGGGGAAATTCAGCTGGGCATCCGATTTGATATCACAGAGCCCAAGAATGAAAGGAAATGAGAGGAAAAATGGCACATCTTTCCACCAATGACACTGGCCACATGGATGACTCATGCAAGGCCAACTGCCTCCCCAATCCCTTAAGAGGGAGGGGTTATCGGAAAGAGAATGTGAAGGAGAAAAGGGATAGGATCATCCTTTGTTTTGTAGTAATCGTGATGACATGGCTGCGTCTTTCTGCCATGATTCCATCGTGGTTTTTCATCTTTCATGTCATCCTCCATGTACTCCTCCAACAAGGTGAAAAACGCACTCCCGCATGCCTTGCTGCGCTTTGAAATATTCATTCAGAGTTCGATTGCTTTCAAAGGAGATGGGTTGGAATGCTTCCAATGCGGACCAGGAAAAAAAGCTTGCCACTTGTCAGGGGTGGAGATGGAAGTGACCTCGTGCAATGGAACTCGGTTCTGCGTCAAGGACTACAACAAGAGGATCTTTGTTGGCACAAAATGCCGTGAGTCGATACGCACAGTGATTTCAAATATCCTCAGCTTACGTCTGCAATATCTGTATTCGGACTCGGCTGAGAGAAGCTTAATATAAACTCATGAATCCCCCTGAAAGAGGCTTACAACTAACTTGCGTTTCCCAAGCGTATTACCTTTCCTCCCCGGTGTCCATATCTACGTTCACCTTCTTTCTATGTTTTTTTTTTCAAGTTATTGGAATAAAGTCACGTCTTCAACAACACTTATTGGTGTAAAGTCACGTCTTCTTAGTGAAGTAGATCCTAAGGGAGTCCTTTGCCCGTAAACCTAATGCCTTTCCTTCATCGAGCAGATGTTAGGAAATGTGGATGCTGATTCACGTATGGCATGTGACGACAAAGAACTGAAAGCACCTTGTTATTAGAATGGCAGAAATGTTGGAGGACTTGTATGGATGTTGGGAAGGAAAACCAGAAGTATGTCTTCCCGGACGATGAGACGAAGATCATATCAGACTGCTTCCCCTACCATTTTGACGACCCCGAACATATAGTGGGCAACATTTGCTTCTGCCAGGAGGACCGCTGCAATGGTTTAATCGTTCATCATCCGACGTCCTCTCTTTCCATCCCTCTCCTTCTCATTGCTCTTTATGTGAGATAACCTTGTGGATTCTATTTCTGATACATTAATGGAGTCAGTAAGTTCCCTTAACAGGATGAGGCAAAATGAAATTGACTGGTAGAGAACTACAAAAACATGCATATCTCAGTCCTTCGTGAGTCGACAACCTGGAAGTATAACATAACAGTGGAAATGATACCACTGGTAGGGATTTGAATCTACTTCATTTTGCCTCAGCCTGTATTTATGTTCATGTTATAACAGATGTGTTCTCATGAACCAAATGAATCCATTAGGAAATGTGTTTGTTTTGCGTTACTACTTATTGCTTCGGAGTCCACTGCAACCTCTTCAATGAGATTCTTACCCTTCGGGAATACTTTTTCTGACTGATGAGTCAAAAAATCCCCTGTGGAATGATTACAGTACCTAGCTTGCTGGCGCTGACACACGATTTTACAGCATGTAATGCAATCACGTTTCGGGGGGAGGGCACAAGCTTGACAACGAAACATTCCCAACTTCCCAGGGAAACTCTTTCAGGGAACTCTTCAATTGGAGACTTGCAGCGTCCGAAGTCGATCTCGCGAGGTGAGTATGGCCGTGGGATGGAGGGCGCCCACGACGGAGTTTCCGACGATTATTTCCTCGAAAGATACGTCACCGAAGACTCCTTCGGGCAAGTCTTGAACTGCATCGTTCTCGTACAGCCGGAATTCCCTGTATACAGTAACATGACAATCATTTTTTATCGAAGGTTTTTGTGTGTAATCCCTCCCATTCTGTTCGTCGATACGTTCACTCGTCGTTAACATTTATTATGGGTCGCGGTATCTTGAACTACGTATCAGGATGCACTGATTGGTGTGGGTATTCCTTGCCTAGCTAGACTATCTAAGCATCTGCGAATCGTATTGACCCTCATGTGGGAGGTACCAAATGGAACTCTTAAATATTTCTTTTCATGTACTCATGTACTCTCGACGACCGGATCCGCATCGATCCTAAAGGAACGGTCGAGCGTGGACGGCGTTCACGGGACTCGAAACACGAGAAACGAGGACTGCAGTGCCGCGACGTCTCGCTTCAAGGATTGCCCAAGGATTGGGTTAATTTCATTGTGCAGTTGTAACAAATATATGTATTTTTTTTTAAGGCGCAGAATGCGCACATGGCCATGGGAGGCGGTCGCCACACTCTCGCCCTCATTGTCATGTGATAATATATGACGCGGCAAAAGCAACCCTAATTTCTTGTCTGCCCCTGCACTTTGTAATCGTCGTTGCAAAGGAAGGAGAACCGACGCCGAGCGAAGACGAAATGAAACCCAAAGATCTGTAACGTATGCCAGCCTTCGCACAACGTTCCGTGGAGTGTATCAGTAGAGAGTCAAGGTGGGGAGAAAGCGGAAGGAGATGAAAGTGAAACATCCTGTGACACGTGGAGATGCATGGATATGGAGGTGAACCCAGTGTTTGGGGTCGGCCAACCCGTGGGAGGACTCATTATCGCTTAAATGCAGGATCTTTTATTCTCTTTGTCTCCTCGAATGTGCCACCCAAACATGATATAAGGAGCCATAATATCATTATGTGAATGGGTACAAAGTCCCTCCAATCAAGTCTACTCTCCATAAACGCATCCTCCAATCCAGCAAGATCTCAGTTAAAGATCCCTCCCTCGACCCCTCTCCGAGGTGACGGAAGAGCAAGAAATCGGGAACTCCATTAGTACCGATTCCATTTGACCGAGGTACTCTGACCCTTTTGATCGTGGGTGCTCTAAGACTGGCCACCTTCCTCTCTCAAAAACATACAGAGGAAAAACGTTGTAGCTAGAGGATCTTTTTGAAGGTCGTGAGTTTTCCCCAGAACTTGTAAGACTTATTATGGAAGTGAATTCCAGTCTATTATAATTAGAAAGTAATTAAAACGGGTTGGACCGGTTGTTTTTCTTGCATTGACTTTGATGGGAGAAAAGTAATTATGATATTGTATTGTGTCATTGGTTTTAATTTTGAGGGCGTTTTGAAATAACGTTGCAATAACTTTTTCTATTGATTTTTTTTAAATATTATTATTTTTTGGAAATACTTTTTTTCTTTTCTGGAATTATGTTCTAGTTACCCCTGCGCGAATATGAATTGGCCCAGATCTGGTTTCCTGAAAAATGGAAAACAGTCACCACACAGCAGGCACAATAAGTTCTCAGAGGGATCAGTAAACCCTATTTAGTCGTTCCGATACTTTTTTAAATCATGAATATGGGTCCAATTCTTCCGTTTAGGGTAATAGCAGAAAAGAGCGATTGGGAAAGCGTCTAAGCAAAGTGCCGGCGATTCATAGGCGAAGCGCTTCATAGAGTTTAAAGCAGGCCTGCGACGCGCATTGGCGGAGTAGATGAGCTGGTAACATGGGATTATTCGAGCAGCCCGACTGAATACGGAAGCATGTCCTGCCACACCCACCAACACATCAACCATGCGCCTCGTGGTCGCCCTTCGTCTCCTTCAGCATGTGTTTGCCTTAGACCTCTTCACTTAGCCAAAGGAACTAAAGTTCGCTTGATTTCATGCATTATACCTCGTGCAAAATAGGTGGACTGTGATGATGCCTGGGGGGGTGTAAAGTTATCACCTTCGTAGGCCAAGCAAAAGCAGGACTGGAACTTGAGGCCCACTCCATAAATTGGGGATAGAGAAATGGGACGGTTACGATGCCGTAGATATCGTCTTTCCTATCCGTGTGAGTAAGCGCTCCTATTTTATATATGATAGGTGGGATCCGGCCCGTTTTCACCCTCAGGACTCACTCTCCTTCTGAGTGCCGATCGATAAAAGGACAGGATTCAGGTCGCTAAAAGTGTCGGGATCCCGATAAATATATGGGCGAAGATCTCCTACTGGATAGATGGATTCCTCGCCTCTTCCTCGCCCGCTCACCATTGGTATCACCTACATCATTGGCAGTTTCATGTGAGTCAGGTTGATTCCATTCATTCATTCATTTTCCGTATCCTGCTCCACATGACAATCAGTAGGCAGGTAAGCATTTATTCCTTACTTCTTGGAGATTTCTTGCGAAGTACATTGAAATCTCTAACGACCCACAATTTGAGAAACGCTGCGGAAAAGAAAGAATGCTTTTTAAGAAATTGAGTCCCTTGCTATTCCTTCCATTTTTAACCATATCTAGAGAGCAGGAGGAGACGTTGCCTTTTTTAGAGGGATCATTTTACCCTCATAGCCAAAACTTCAAAGGGGCGTATCTCAAAAACCGATGAACATGGACTGCTGCAATATTCGATTCATCAGTTTCTCAATACCCCTA